GCCATAACCCATGGTAGATTCCACCTCAGTGGACAAGGGAACCTCTGATGAGGGGGCATCCACCTTGGGACTGGTTTTGTGATGCCCCTGTGACAGATGCTAGGGATGGGAGTGGGAAGAGAGGTGTGGTCTGTCATGATGTATGTTCCTTTTAACATGAGTGATTTATATAATTGGATAAACCAAACCCCCCTTCTTAGAGCTGCTCTGCTAGAATCAGTGTTCAAAACTCATCACCTCAGCCGAGGAGTTGGCTCTGCAGCACGGTGCCTGCCCAGCAAGCATGAGGTTGTGAGTTTAATTCCTGGTACAAAAAAAAAAAAAAAAAAAACCACCACCTCAGCTGTGTAAAGATACTAGACACAATCCAATTTCTCTCAGTGTCTCCACTGTTGAATAATTGCTTTTGAGCTGCTTGCTCTCTGCCATGGCACTCAGAGGCTGTCAAGGCCTCTGAAGAAACAGCACAACACTACAGTGTCTCTTGAATTATTCTGCCTATTTTATCTATGTTGCTTACATCCTGTGTACATATGCAGTGACAAGCAGCAACGCTGCAAGGACACCCAGGACTTGGAGGCAGATTTATTTTACGTTGACAGGCACTGATCAGGATCACAAATGATCAGGCCCCAAAGGCCCAGAGAGGGAGGTTTCTCTGGAGATGAAAGGGGAAGGACAGAGGCAGACTACTTGTCTGTCTTTGATTGGTTCTTACAATATGCATCACAGTGACCAGCCGTGCATCAGAGTGACAGAAGAGACAGAAGTAACAGGAACTTGTAACAGGAGCTGTTACCTGGGCAGCTAACAGACTGGCTGCGGGTGCATTTTTTGCTATACATATGCTATATAATATACATTCCCTCCTGGGAACCTATCTTTCAGCCAGGAAATTATTCCACTTTGAGATTTGCTGCTCCTGCTGTGCTCTGAGCTGGCCAGTGGGTAGTTGTGTCTGACAGCTCTTTGTAGAAGTTAGGACATCTGCTTGGGATCAGATATCAACCTGCTGATTTAAAAAAACAAAACAAAACAAACAACCTGGTGGTTTGCTTGTCTTCACTGGACTCTGGGTCACGGTGTGACACAGCACATCAGGGAAGGGAACAAGAGGGCGAAAACTGAAAAGGCAGTAGGGGTTTTTTTTGCCAAAGAATTTCTCTGTTGCTGAGATCAAAGCCATGTTTACTGTCTTGCAAAATCTTTTAGAGCTGAAGAATTTGGCTGAAGTTGAGCTGTGAACTCTTGGAGATTAATAACCGTTGCCTAGCTGGAAGCCTACAAATAAACTGGGTCCCTCTAAATTGCCAGTCTGTTTAGCATGTCTGGTTGAAGCCACAGGGACAAGTCTGAGGAAGTGGTGGCTGCCTCCTGACACCCATCCTGCCTGGCGGCCGTCCCCATCCACACCCCCTGAGGGCCCATGGGGGCCCTTGCATGAGGCCACAAGGAGCTTCACCTCAGTCTAGGCTGGTGTCCATCAGCAGCAGTTTATTGATGGTGTAAACTGAGTTGCAGATACTCTGACTCCAAAAATAGGTTAGCTGTTTATACTTACTTACCACTGTAAAATGTTTTCCCGGTAAAGATTAGAAAATGAAAAACTTCTTGAAAGCCAAGCCTGCCTTCAGGATTCCTATGACAACTTACAAGAAGTGATGAAGTTTGAAGTTGACCAACTTTCAAGAAGCCTCCAAAACTACAAGAAAGAAAATGAAACTGTGAAGTGTGATCTGAGTGTAAGTCAGGAGGGGTTGGCAGTTGGGAGTGTGTCCTGGATCTGGGCTGATGTCTGGGTGAAGGGCGCGGAGTGTCCGACCTCTGCCTGATAGCCTGTTCCGGCCCCAGTGCCAGCCCCACGTTGTTGGCCTTGTGCTACCAGGTGTAATCACCATCGGTCTAATCTAAGCCTGTCTTTTAGCGTTTGATGGAGCTTTATGAAGCAGAAAAAGAACGCAACAACAGATTGTCATTACAGTTTGAAGAAGATAAAGAAAACAGTTCTAAGTGAGTGCTGTTAATTGACTACAATATGATTCCCTGCCATGCTCTCTTCTGGTTGGTGCAGACTTATTTTGAGCTTGGGATGTAGCTCAGTGCTAGAACACTCGCTTGGTGTTCACAGGGTCCTTGGTTCCATCCCCAGAATGGGAGTGGGGGGGGAATCTGAATTAACAGACTCAGTTCCTGTTTTCATTGAATGAAGTCAGGTAAAAGGTAATTCTTTTATTCCAGAGAAATCTTGAAAGTTCTTGAGGCTGCTCGTCAGGAGAAACAGAAGGAGATGGCCAAGTCTGAGCATCAGGTAGATCTCCTCTTATTCTGACTGTAGAATTTGAAATGGATAACTTTTTTTTTTTTTCCGGTACCGGGCATTGAACTCACCCTGCACTTGCCAGGCGGGTGCTGTACTGCTGAGCTAAATCCCCAGCCCGAAGTCGATAACATTTATTCCTGATATCTAATGAGATTTACTATAAAATTTTTTTTTTAACTTTCAGTGTTAGAAATTCCATCTTGTATGGATTTTTTTGTTCTGTTATTACTGTTATTATTTATTTTTTGTGATACTGGGGATTGAACCCAGGTAGTTTGTAGTGAGCTGTGTTCCCAGCCCAGCCCTTTTTTACTTGAGGCAGGGTCTTGCCATTGGTCCAGGCTGCTTTTGGACTCACTGTGTAGTCCAGGCTGGCCTTGAGCTCGTGGTGATCCATCCTCCTGGCTCAGTCTCCAGAGTGTTGGGATTGCAGGCGTGTGCCATCACGCCTGGCAGGGTCGTGTTTTTTTTAACTTTTATTTTTCTAACTCCCAGGTCACCATAATCTTAGGATTTGTTGGTCTCTTGGAAAAGACCACAAAAATCATTGTGTTTGAATGCAATTTATCATTTTCAAGTATTACTCTTAGCTTAGACAGTAATATGAAAAACAGGTAATAGCCTTTTTTAAAATGCATGTGTAGTTAACTTGGTGATTTAATTTTTTTCTAAAATATTTGTTTATCTCTTAGATGGCAGAAATACAGAAACTAGAAGAGAGTTTGCTTGCTGCTGAAAAGGTGACCAGTTCTCTGGAAAAGTCTCGAGATGCTGATAAGGTAGGTGGGCAGCAGCTCCCTCCTCTGAGTGCTGCTTGACGTTGCAGACTCGGGCCCATCTTGCCCCCGCAGAGTATCTGAGAGCTGCCGTTTCCGTTGCATTTAGGCTGTGTTGGTCTTCATTCCAGGGGTGCCTGGAGATGAGGGCTGCCACTTCAATTAATCTTCCACATAACTTCAAGTACAAACTACTCTAATGCTTTAGATGACAGTGTCTATAAAACACAACTTGCTCTTTTTGGCTCTTTTTTTGGTACAAGGAATCAAACTCATGACCTCACAGTGCTTGCCAGGCAGGCACTATGCTGCTGAGCTATACCCCTGGCCCTTGCTCCTTTAACTAGAATGCTGACCCTATCTCGTTGACATTTTTATTTTGTTTTGTTTTTGAGACAGGGTCTCCCTGTGTAGCCCAGGCTGCCTTCAAACTCACAGTGATCCTCTGTTCTCAGCCTCCCAAGTGCTGGGATTGCAGGAGTTCGCCACCATGCCCAGACCTATTATTGATGCTTAAATCCCATGATACAAATTCTCAAATCCTTGGTATTGACTTTTATTTAGAATAATAAAAGTAGCGTGCTGATTCACATATCAAAGTAATGTAGGCCCTTATTTATCTAGATTTCACTCATTCATAAAATCAAAACTGTTAGTCTAGTGTGGTAGTGCAGACCTGTAATCACAGCACTCGGGAGGGTGAGGCAGGACTGCTGTAAGTTCAGGGGAAACCTGGGCTACATAGTAATATCCTACCTTGAAAACACCTTGAAAGTAAATAAACAAAACCAAGTAACTGATTAAAGCATAATAAAGCCATTAAAATGTAAGTTGATGTTAATAATAGAATGGTACATGATAATTTACTACAATAAAATTGTTCTTTTTGTCTATACTGGGGATTGAACCCAGGACTTTTATTTTTTATTTTGTTGAGACAGTGTCTCTAAGTTGCTCAGTTGAGACTTGGACTTCTAATCCTCCTGCCTCAGCCTCCCAGGTTGCTGGTATTACAGGCTACCACACCAGATTTAAAATTGACTTCCTGTGCTAACATTACAAAAGAAAAATGGCTTATCATTTAGAGATGATCTTAATGTCTTTGGGTATGAAAATCCCTGTCTGTCCTCAGGAAGTTATAGCTGACCTCACAGGCCAGATCCAGGAGCTCAGAGCGTCAGTGTGTGAGAAAGCGGAAACCATCAGCACCCTGAGGGAAGAGCTGGAGGACATGAGCGTAAGTTCTGTCTCCGTGACGGTGAATTTGACCATGCCATGCACTTTGCAGACTCCCAAAGGTTAACTGTCCCCCGGCAGAACAGAGCAGCGGCTAGCATGTCAGCGTGTTGGGACTGCTCACCATGCCCAGATGTTCGGGTCTACAGCGCTGGCGGCTGCGTTTCCTGTGCCCCCATGTGCTCTGTGTCCCAGGCTTCTCTGCACCCCCAGCAGTCTTGGAGCTGCTGATTCAAACCACGGGAGAAGCAAGCTGGGTGTTGCCCGTGAGGTTCAGGCTAGCGCAGTGCTCCTTAGTTGTTTCAGGAGGACGGTAACCCACTTCAGTAAGCTCAATGATACTAACTGCGTGGAGAATGGGTTCGTCCCCCGATGTTAGCCCGAGCAGCTTTCTGAGAGCAGCCACTTCTCTGTCCCCTGGGGTATATCAGTGCCTCCTCTGCCGGGGTCATTGTGCAGGTTTGCATCTGTGTCAGTGCCGTGCCCTCTGGAGCACATTCCCTAAAGCAGTCTCCTGACAAGACCACAGAACCAAGTGTTTTCCCACTGTTACCTGGGACTTTGCATTTTTTTCTTTCATTCCTTCATTAACAAGGATTTATTGAATTAACTTGTGTTAATCTGGTTACTGCCACAGAACTCAGACCACACTTTTAAGTTATTTTAACCTACAGGAAAACCAGACAGCTCTTGTATCATGACTTTCTTTCTTATAGTGCAAATACAGCTCTGCTTTGGCAGACACTGAAGAAAACCAAGTGTTGATCCAGAGGCAGGAAGTGGAAATTCTGGAGCTGAAAGAAACCATTAGGCTGCGAAAACTGTCTGACGACATCGAGGTAGCTGTTAACGGCATGCCTGTTTGCTCATTGTTCGTCAGTGTGCGTATTTGTGTGTGGAAGTTCGTAGTGAACAAGTAGAAGAATAGAGCCTCTTTTCCCAGGGGAGGCAAGGCGATGGAGACAGGACACCAAAGTGATGATGCTGTGGGCGGTCGCTCTGTTTTCAGTCATTGCGTAGAAAGCCGGTGTTGTGGACGCTCACTGCACCTCATGCTGCAGTGCAGAGCCTGTTTACTTGGACACCAAGGTGGCAACAGATGAGAGAAAAAAGTCTGCTTACTATCAAAAACCGGGTTAAATAACCAAAGTTATTGCAGGATGATCAGGCCTGCACTCTCCCAAGCGAGTAGACATCAAAGGCTTAAATAAAATGCAGACAATGTAATGATGTTAGGGCACCAGGAGGGACTAACTCTCTTAAAGCCTCGGTATTCTCGGAGTTAGCCAAAGACTGCTCTGGGCGGCCCGTATTTATGAGGTTTTCAAACAAAGGGAGAGGATACTCAAGAAGACGTGAGAATCTTGCAGGGCCTTGGGAGAATTTTCCCAAGTAGTAAATTATGTCAATCAGGAGAAATAGCTTATCTTTAGGTTGGTATTTATTGTAGGAATGTGGAGCCTGCCGCTGTAGTCTCCTCATAGTTAATTGTTGGAGCCAAACGCCTCTGCCTGTGGCCTTATCTTGTCAGACAAGGTGCCTAAGCTTCAGACAACTCACAGGTAAACATGGAAAGCCAGTTGGTTAATATAAAATCCTGCTCACAGCCACTTTGTAGTGGTCCCCAACAGCTTACCAGTTTGAGTTCCCGGTATTTCTCGTGTTTTAGCTAAAGTACATGTTTCACTTGTCCTCCTTGTGGGTGTCAGCAGAACTGTTTTATGGTGCAGTCATACTGTCACAGGGTTCAGAAGCAGTGTCCCTTCCCTCCTACTCCTCCCTGCCTGTCGTGTCCCCCTACCAGTTTCTGCGCTGTCCTTCCAAGGACAAAGACTAATATTCCTACTTGCACACAGATGGTCCGCCATTGTGTCTACTGTTCTGCACCTGATTTAGAAATGAGGTTTTCTTATAAATCTGGGCTCCCTGTGAAACAACAAATATTTATTGTGTCTACCTACTGTGCCTGGTCCAGCTTGGGAGTAGGAGGATGACTGAAACACCGTTCCCTGTGCCACGCCTGCTGTCTGGCCCAAGTGTGTCAGGACATAAGAGCACAGAAAGGAGGGGACAGGAGGGTTCTGCCCGAGGGTTCCGGAGAGCCTCCCTGGAGGGACGGCGTTTGTACAGATCTGAGGGCGGGAGGCTCAGTGCAGCAGCAGCTGGGAGAGCTGGCCCAGGGGTGCAGCACCTCAAGGCCAGCGACAGGTCCTTTAGGAAACTGAATGGCACAGACTTCAAACCAGGCAGAAGGCGGGGCCTGGGCCCAGAAGCACTTCCGGGAAGGAGCAGTTGGTGGAGGCAGAAGTCCAGCTAGATCTGGGCTGTGAGGGGGGAAGCAGTCAGAGGGCATCCGGCTGCCAGCGCACAGGCCTGGGTGGTTCGGTGCCCCTCCAAAGAGGAGTGGAGCTGCCCGGGAAAGTGGGACTCTGGATATGTGGCCGCTGTCAGCTTACAGACCCTAGCAGGGAGGCTGGCACGGTGCCACACGCTGGCATCCCAGCTACCTGGAAGACTGAAGCAGGAGGATTGCAACTTCAAGCCCAGCCTGGGAAACCTAGTGACTTAGAGAGACCTTGTCTCGTTTCTGAAAGGTCTTGACCTTTCAGAAATTGTACATGGTAATGACTTGTGAACTTCTGTTGGATTATTATAATTTAAAATTCGTCCTTTCTGGGCTTGTCTGTACAGAGGGACATGCTCTGTGAGGATCTGGCTCATGCCACCGAGCAGCTGAACATGCTCACGGAGGCCTCCACCAAGCACTCAGGGCTGCTGCAGTCCGCCCAGGAGGAGCTGGCCAGGAAGGAGGCCCTGGTCCAGGAACTTCAGCACGAGGTGAGGGCACAGCACGCATTGCACATGGTAGCCAGAGGAACCCCCAGTGCGGCGGTCACCACTCCCTGCCGTGCCCGGCTGCTGTGTGTGCTTCTGGAAGCGGACGGAGTGCAGACGGGCGGGCGGGTGGACGGTGGGAATGGGTTTCCGCTCGGCTGCCGCCCTCCTGGCCTGGCCCTGACACATGGGGGAGGTTCCGAGCACAGCGCGAGGCAGTGGCCCAGCTTCACCATTTCTTCTGTCTGCTGCTGTTGTTTTATGTTTTATATTTTTCTTCACCGAGCCTATGGTTACTTGGGAAATTTAAAAAGTAAAAACAGGTATAAATAGGTTTTCGGGGGAAAATGAGACAGTTGGGTTATGGTAGTGACCAAGAAAGGCAAAAAAAGCAGCCCAGATTTTACAGTGTATTACTTTGGAAAGTGCTGTGGGTTTTGTTTCTAATTTCTGCTGCTTTTTCAAGTCCTGAGAAAATAACATCAAAAGCATATTTCTTCGTTGCTGAATAAGCTCGAATGAGTGTAGAGGAAGAGCGCACTCTCAGGGACACCTTTCTACCTGATGAACAGTTGTGCACACTGGCGTGTTGCGGGGTGAAGGCTTTGCACGTGCACAGATGATGGAATGATGAAATCAGGCCCGCAGCCTGTCCGTCACCTCACACACATCGCTTGTTTGTGGTTTGAACATTTTGAGTCCACTCTCAGCAGTTTTGAAATGTGCTTTACACATTATTTTTAATTTCTCAAAAACTTATTTTTCCTGTCTAACTGAAACCTTGTCCCTTTGACCAGCATCTCTCGCCTGTGCACCCCGTCTGGTAGCCACTGTTCTGTCTCCTCCTTCTGTAAGCTTGACTTTCTCAGATTGCCCGCACGAAAGTGTCAGTCAGCTGTGACAGACAGCTGATAAAGTCACAACTGGGGAAGGAGGCCTGCTTTATTCCAGCATCCGGTTTCAGGCCTTTCAGCTGGCTCCAGTGCTTCCAGGCCTGTAGCAGCGAGGCAGAAGCACCTCGCTGAAGGGGAGGGAAAGCAGCTCCCACCCTGTGGAAGGCGCCCCCACCCCCACCTGCGGTGTGTGTCCCCCATCCGTTTCCAGGCCTCTGCGCCACTGTCCTCCGGAAACTTACTCACAGATGTCCAGCTGTGCTTTCCCATTTCCTGGGTGCTTCTCAGTCTGCCAGATTGGTAGTCAATTTTCTTTTTCTTTTTTTTTTTTTTTTGGCTTTTTTCTGGTACCGGGAACCAAACTCACAACCTGGTACTTGCCAGCAGGCACTGTGCCGCTGAGCTAAATCCCCAGCCCCTAGATTGGTGGTCAAGATGAGCCATCACAGAGAGGCTGTGTGTGTGTGTGTGTGTGTGTGTGTGTGTGTGTGTCTCTGTCTGTCTCTGTCTGTCTGTCCTGCGTTACTTCCATTAGCACGGCATCCTCCAGCTTCCCTACTGCTCAGTGACAAAATTTGTTGCTTGTTTTGGACTGACTGGTATTCTGTTATGAGTATTTGTCCCATTTTCTTTGCGCGTCCTTCTGCTGATGGAGATTGGGGTGACTCCGTAACTTGTCTGCGATGAACACAGGAGTGCAGGTGTCTCTTCTATTACCTTGGTTCCTTGGGACATGTGCCCAGGGGTGAGGCTGCTGGCCAGGCGGTAGCTCCAGTTCTGGTTCCTAGCAGCTGGGGGGCCCTCCCTTCAGCCTTCCGCAAGGGCTATATAGTTAGCATCCTGTCAGCAGCATGAAAGGCTCTTCTCTCCGCACCCAGCCGGTGCGCAGCTCTCAGCCTCCAGCGCCAGCTGCTGCGTGAGGTGAGCCTCCTGTGGTTAGGGTTTTCATTTCCCTGCTTGTTGGTGTCGGGCAAGCTTGTCTTTTCTAAGTGGACCATGTGCTCCATTTTATCTTCTAACTTATAACCCTTTTTCTCTTCGATTCTTCCAGCTACACCGAAAGAAAGAGGAAGTGGAACAGAAGAAGAATGAATATAATTTCAAAATGAGGGAGCTAGAACATGTGATGAGTTCAGCTGCTGAGTACCCCCAGGTACTTTCCAAAAACAAAAACAAAAAACACATTTCAGAGGGCTGGGGATTTATCTCAGCGGCACAGCGCCTGCCTGGCAAGCGCAAGGTCGTGAGTTTGATTCCTGGTACCGGAAAAAAAACAAATATAAAAAATGCATTTCAGGAGGAAAGTGGGTTGTGAATAATAAGATTAGAAATTAATTTAAAGGTCCTACCTTTGTCTTTTTATAGAAAAAGATACTAACAATGTCTGCTTTCTTTTTGGTGAAAGCACCACTCCTATTTGTTTTATGTGGACAAGAATTAGAACAGTTGGCTAAATGGCCTGTGGCTGGGCATGTGATACATGCTAGGTGTGTGGCAGGAACATTGAGAATGCTCATCCTGTGCGTTAGGTGTAGAGATTTAAAATGAATTCTTCATAGCGTCAGATGTTGATCAGATATTTAGATGGGATGTGGTTTTCTTTTAGAGTCCTAAAACACCACCTCACTTTCAAACACATTTGGCAAAACTGCTGGAAACACAAGAACAGGAGATAGAAGACGGAAGAGCCTCAAAGACCTTCTTGCAACAGCTTGTAACAAAGCTAAATGAAGACAGAGAAGTCAAAAATGCTGAAATCATCAGAATGAAGGTACCTGGATAATTCCTTTGCAATAATTTAAAGTTTTCAAGATAAGCCGGATCCTCTTCATGGTTTCTGAGGACACAGAATTCAAAGGGTGCAGAACGGAAAGGTGGACAAAGAAAAGCCTTCCTCCCAGCCCTCATCCCTGGCTCCCTACTCTGCTGTCCCTGAGGCTTCTGGAGTGGCCAGTTTCTTTCTTTTGTACAGTTTCTCAGTATCTATACAACCAAGTCTGTAAGCATTCTTTCCATGCCCCTGGTGATTTTCACACAGTGGTGTCATAGAGTGCGGAGCAGCTGCATAGAGAGAGGGCCTGTTTCCTGAAACCTCACCACCTCGCACTGTCTGACTTCTGGATCTCTGTCAGCTTAAAGGCCAGTACATGTTGTCTCAGTGTGGTTGGTTTGGTTTGGTTTTTTTTGTTTTGAGACAGGGTCTCTCTATGCAGTTCAGCCTTGAGCTCACTTTGTAGCCCAGGCTGGTCTCAAACTCACAATGATCCTCCTGCCTCAGTCTCCCAAGTGCTGGGATTACAGGTGTGCACCACTACACCTGGCATACTCAGTGTGGTTTTAAATTTACATCTGTCCTCTTAGAAGTAAAACTGTGGGCTGAGGATGTAGCTCAGTGGCATAGTAGCTGCCTGGCAAGCACAAGGTCCTATGTTTAATTCCTAATACCCTCCCCCACAAAAAAGTAAAAGTGAACATCCTTTTGTTTTTCTGTTCCTGTGAACTACACTGTCACCATTTTTCTGATGAGCTTTTTCTTATTCATCTATAGGCTTTCTGTATGCACGAGGGAGACTTGTGTTGGTCTCTGATGAATCCCCTCTCCTCTGTGTGTGGCAAGGTGTGCGTGTGGCTGGCGTGGCAGTTGGAGAGGATGGAGCTGGGAGGTGTGGGTGGGCGGGGTGGGTGCTCCTCAGAGGCCGCCTCGCACCTGGGCATTGCTCTGAGGAGCACAGTCTGACTACCGTAACCCGGGCACAGGAAGCACCTGGTCAGTGTCATTCCAAGTTTTCCTCCTCATGGAGAGGATCCTTCCGTCCCTTTCTTCAAGCAGCTCTCAGCAGGTTGTGCTGAATGTGGCTGTTAGCCAGATCAGCACAATCAAAAACAGATGCGGTAGCGTCAGGTTAGAGACCAGGCAGAAGTAAGCTTCAAGGAGTGTTCCTCCCATACAAGAGTTTGTTTCTTCTGGGTGGCAGGTGCGTGCTGTTCTTTTTACGGGGCAGGGATTGAACCCAGGACCTTTTGCTTGCCAGGCAGGCACTGTGCCACTGAGCCGTGTCCCCAGCCTCGTGCTTTTCAAGTTAGGGTCCAGTTGTGATTTTAAGAGTTGGGCTATGGCATCAGTTTTTTCCTTGCTTACTTTCATTGAATCTATTAAAAAGAATGCCACAGTTGAGAAATTCCCCAAACTTCCGCTTAATGGAATTTTAACGAATTACATGATATGGCTGCATTTCACCAGCCATACCCAGGCAGTGCTCCGTGTGCAGGAGGAGCTGGAAGAGGACCGCATGTGTTGGTCATGGCCTTCGGGGCAGACTCACACTTACTGTCAGTGTTCTGAGAGACTTGCTTTGGTGTCTTCCCAGGAGCACTTGTGTGAGATGGAAAAGCTGCGCCTGGAGAACCAGCAGCTCAGAGAGAAAAACTGGCTGCTGCAAGGTCAGCTGGATGACAGTGACAGACAGAAGGACCGCAGGTGAGTGCCAGCGGGACTCTGGCCTGCCTGGACTTGCCCTATGAGGTCAGGGGTGGTTCCTGAAGGGCTCTGCGTGTGTGTGGTCCCCACACTCTCCCCACCTGTTCCCCCAACCCCACCTGCCAGAGGCACAGCTGCTCCCCTGGGTGCTGTGGCCTGAGGCGGGCATTGGTTTCCCAGAGCTGGAAGGTGCGTGTTCGTGACTCCGCCCATTCCGCCAGCCTTTTCACGATGTGAGCCTGCTGAAATGAACTTGAAACGGGGGAGGCGCTTGTGTGAAACTACTTCTCTTTAAATAAAGCCAATAAGACGGTTCAGGAAGCCCTACAGAAAGCGAGGGTTTCCTACCTGCTTCATGGCTCGAGGTGCAGGCAAGCTCGAGGCAGGGCCAGAGTGCTGTGAGCGTCTGTCAGAGCAGTGCCATCCTGCGAACCGTGCCAGGCACGTCTCAGCCTTAGTCAAGGCCTTCCCTGGTTAGCACTTTTGCCAGTGGCCTAGCAGGGTGCCAGGCTGCACATCTGGGCCTGGTTCCTGTGTCCAACTCTTTAATGCCTTGTGAGTTTTCACTCTGTTTTTAAGATTTTAGTGTCTCAATTTCCTTAGAATAAGATAAGAAAACTGGCTGGCATGGTGACATACACTTGTAATCCCAGGACTCTGGGAGGCTGAGGCAGGAGGATTGGAAGTTTGGGCAACTCAGGTGACTTAGTGAGACCCTATCTCAAAATGAAAACATTTTTAAAAGGGCAAAAAAGAAAAATGTACCTTCTTCACAAAGTGATTTAAAGATTAAAAATAACAACATATAGCTCCGGGGATTTAGTTCAGTGACAGTGCTTGCCAAGCATACAAAAACTGGGTTGGATCCCCATCACCACAAAAAGCCAAGCTGTAGAAAGTGCCATTCTCGGTGCTGGTTGAGGATGTCTCCCGGTGGAAGGTAGTTACTAGGCGCACAAGGCAGAATCACTGTCCTGCCCGTTGTTAATTTTCTGCCTGAGAGGTTAGAGGGGAGAAAGGCCTGTACAGTTATGCAGGAAGGTGAACTGAACCAAGGGCTGGAGGGCCCTCTGCGGTGGAGGCCCTCACCGAATGCCCCTGATGAGGGCACCTGCTGTCCGCTCTGTTGCCGGAAAGTCTCCAGCAGAAGCTTGCCAGCTCCTCGGCCCTGTTCAGAAGCCACCCTGAGACGCACTGTCCCAGACCATCTGGCCGGCTCCCCGATGCCGGGCGGAACCCTGCGGCGCCCTCGCCTGGAGGCACACGTTTACTCGGCTTGTGGTTTCAGAGGTCTCAGTCCAAGGTCGCTGGCTGCAAGGCCAGAGCGTGGCGGGACAGTGCGGCTGGGGAGAGCTGCTCAGCTCATGGCTCTCAGGAAGCAGAGCACAGCGGACGAGGCCAGGGACTGGACAGTCCCGAGCTCGCACCCTGCACCCAGCCAGACACTCAGAAGTGTGCTTCCCTCCTCTCCAAGGCGCCCCTCACAGTCAGGTTGACCGTCAGTGCCAATGGTGGCTCTGCTCACGGCCTCTTCCGTGTGGGTCTCCTGACACGTAAGGAAGCATCAGAGGCCTCCTTTCGTAGGACTGGGCACCCAGCAAGCTGCACTTGTAATGAGCACCTGGCTCCACATGTAGGCCATTACAATGTGTGTTGCTGACGGTGCGCTCATCCCGTTTCCACATGTTCCATCCATCCCCGTGTCCAGTCTTCTACCAAGACGTAGCAGAAGCATGGAACGTAGAACATTTCCAGATCATTTGTTAAACCACAGTTAAAAACACATCTCAAAGTTCCATGTTCCTTATGTGAAGAGCCACACAGAACTTCTGTGAAAAATAGAGGAGGGATGAACTACAGCTCAGGAGCAAGTCCAGCCCCCAGCCCACAGAATAAATACAGTTTTGTTGGGACATGGTCGCCTCTTTTGATTGAAATATTGCTATCGCTGTTTTTGCAGTGCAGTAGCCAACCTGAGCAGCTGTGGGAGGGACAAGTGGCTCTCAAAGCCTAAAACACTTGCAGTCTGGTTCTTAGCAGGAATAGTTTCCCTAGTCCTGGATTAAGGCACTTTAGAAAACAACCTTTCCCTTGGGATCTGCGGTGTCCTCCTCTGTGGAGTCTAGTACCACCTTTGTCCTGGCTGTCGGATTTGTGAGGCAGAGGGACCTTCCTGTAGCTTCTGTCTTCCTTTGAGAAGCAGTCTTGTCATCAGTCTGAGAATCCTAGAAAAGCCCACGCCTCCAGGCAGGGTCTCTTTGGGGGAGGTCTCGGCTGCCAGGAACTGCGCATGGGGCTCAGCTAGTTCCCCAAGCCAGGCAGGCTCAAGGATGGGGTGCCACCCACAAATGTTATTCTGAGCGCTCCTTTTCCACAAACAGATTACGCCTGTGCCCAGGGACCCCCCATCCTGGCATCTGCACACACGGGAAGGCAGAGTGGTCATCAGGAATCCACACGAAGGGAGAGGCAGGGGCTCTGCATGCCCAGGCCACCCTCAGCGGGTCCATCCGGGGTCCCAGCTGCCCTTCCCCTCACTCCCCTCTTGCTCACATTTGATCTCCCACTAAATTTCTACTTTCCGCCATGGCTGGGTTAGAGCTCCTGCTCTGCACATCTTGCTTCTGTCCTGGGAACAGTCCTGAGTTCTGGGGAGGCTGCTCGTGTCACCCATGTTCAGTCACGTTTCTCAGCTGTGCCGACGGACCTCGTCCCCATGGTTCGCTTCTGTTTGCGTCCCTGGGCATGACTACAAGTAGGAAGTGAGCACTTAATACCGGAGTGACCTTGACAGTGCCCCGTATCTGTTCCCCTGATCCATGCAGCGACCGGGATCATCTGGAGAATCAGCAGCTGAAGAATGAACAAGAAGAAGAGATTATGAGAGAAAGACTCGCTAAAGTATGACTTTCTTTTTACATGATGATCGTTTCTTTGAGAAGTGCTTTTGTAACTAACATTTTTGGTTCTATGCTTTAGAAACCATTTTATTATTGAAATTTCTGTCTTTTCTGCGTTCCCTCTGCTGAGCATGCTGTTTACCATCAGCATTTGGACACAGCTGAGAAGTGAGAGCGCGGTGTCCAGCCTGGGTGGGGAGCCCGCCACTCCGCACATCCGGCGCTCCATTTCCCACGTGGGCACGGAGGGCCTGGGGACAAGGGGGCTGGTTTGATTTTATGAACGTGAGGGAGAATGGACTGATTCCTTTGTCTTTTTTTTTTTTTGGCAATGTTATTAAAGAACTTGAACCTTGGGCTGGGGATTTAGCTCAGCGGCAAAAGCGCCTGCCTGGCAAGCGCAAGGTCGTGAGTTCGGTTCCCAGTACCGGAGAAAAAGCAAAAAAAAAAAAAAACTTGAACCTTTTTCTTTTTTTAAAATCTTACAGAGTAGAATGGCTGAAGAAATGCAGAAAATGAAAACAGAGTAAGTGTACTATTTTGTAAATCTTGATAACTTTTAAAATTCTCCTTTAAAGGAAATATATATCCACAAGTAAGTAACTTCTTTCCTTCTGCAGCACTATGTGAACAGAACTGATGTTTACAGTTATCCTCCTAATAGCATGTACTCAAGGGAGTCCTCAGCTAGAGCCGCTGCAGAAGGAAACCTTAAAGCAGTGCAGGGAAAAGCTTAGCTTCCTTTGAGCAGCTGAGAGGGGCCCTCTTCCCCACGAAGAGGGTGGTGTACCTGACTGGTTCCCCTTTCCCGTAGGCTTCTGCTCCATCAGGTTCAAACACCTGAGCCCTTCTGAAACTTGTAGATCAGTGCCCTAATTCCTTGTTTTGATCTAGCTTCTTTTTATGTTTCCTGAAGGCATGATTTTAAGTTATTCATAGTTTTCATATTTATCTACCCTTATATATTGCCCCATTCTTTCATGTATAAAGGACACTGTATTTTCTGTCAAGTTCAAAACAAGTGAACTCATAGCTGTTAACCAAAAAAATGATAAAATAACATTAGAAAGAGTGGAGTAAGTATTCAGAGTCCTCAAACATTTTCACTTGTTATACTTCTTAAAAGAATTTTGAGCCGGGCATGGTAGCGCACACCTGTAATCCCAGCATTTGGGAGGCTGAGGGCGGAGGATCGCAATGAGTTTGAGGCCAGCCTGGGCTACATAGTGAGTTCAAGGCCGGCCTGGACTACAGAGCGAGACCCTGTCTCAAAAAACAAAAAAGAATTTTGAAATGCCATTTAACCTTTTTTTTAAAAATCTTTTGGTTCTGGGGATTGAAACCAGGACCTCTGTACTAAGCTATATCCCCATCCATTGTTTTGTTTTGTTTTATTTTTCAGGACAAGTCTCACTAAGTTTCCCAGGCTGGGCTTGAACTGGCAATCCTTGTGCCTAACCCTCCCAGAGTGCAGGAATTAGAAATGTTTGCCACCACACCCAGCTTTCATGCATTGTTTTTCAATTTTTATTTTTATTAGTACACGTTTGCAGTACATAATGATTACATCCCATGTGAGCTGAAACATGTACACGCACATCTTAGTTCTTTTTTCAACCCCTTCCCCTCCCCCCTCCCTCCATCTCTTAGTCCTCCTCCCATTTGCAGAAGATCCTTCTCCCTATTTCTGGTTACCTCCCTTTATTTTACCCTGAATATCTTTGAAGTTGGCTTTATGTGTAAAAGTTTTTACTATAAGTTTAAATTGTTCTAAGGCCAGGCATTGCTGTTGTAACTGCAAACATCGTATCTCCACAAGAAGATTACATTTGCAGGAAGAAAGTTTCCAAGGGCTTTCTTTGGTTGGAAGTTCCCAAGAACCAGTTTATGTCTCCTTGGCTACAACAGGCACACATGAGATACCTTCAGGGGAAGCTGAGGCAGCCAGGGTCTGACAGGGAATAGAGATAACCATGCTCAGCTTAGACCAGTCATTACTCACTGTACTTGGGAAGCAGGCTGTGCTTTCCCCCAGAACTGGCCACGGTCCCTCTCCCTGCCCCCCGCCCCTTTCTCTTCTTCTCTTCCTCCCCCTCTCTTACAGTGCTGGGGATTAAACCGGCTTGGGGGAAAGATGTACTTTGAGTGCTGTTTTGGAGTTACATTCCTATGGAATACCGTAAGATGATACTTGTTCTTGCAGTCTGAGAGAAGTCCAGAGTGCTCTTCACAGCAGAGAGATGGACTGCCTCAGAATGGCTGAGGAAGTGGAGCGAACACAAACACTGGAGGCTAAAGCATTCCAGGAAAAGGAACAGCTGAGATCGAAGCTGGAAGAGATGTATGAAGAAAGAGAGAGAAACTTGCAGGTGTGTCACTGTGCCCGACTTGTCATGGTACTTGGGGTCCTTGAATAAAGAAGATTAATCAGCAGAAACCTCCTTCCTGTGAACGTGCGATCTGGGACAGGGTCCTTGGTTTGCGTCCCTCTAGTCCCTCTGGTCTCGTAGTGGCTGTAGAACCTAGTCTGGGCTCCATCTCTTACATCCCTGCTCTTGGGAGACAGGAAATGGGGTGAATTTCAAAGGACCTGAAGTCCTGCGTCTCACCTGCCCGCTTGGGTTGATTTGTGTGCAGGAGATGGAGATGTTAAGGGGGCAGGTGGAGTTCCTCACAGAGGAAAACGGCAAGCTGGCAGGGCATCAGAACCTGCAGCAGAAGATCCATTATGTGATACGCCTGAAGAAGGTACACTGAATGTTACTTTGAATTAATCTGCTGGGGTTTAAAAGTGATCATTTTGCCAGGCGTGGTGGCGCACGCCTGTAATCCCAGCACTTGAGAGGCTGAGGCGGGAGGATCACTGTGAGTTCAAGACCAGCCTGGGCTACAAAGTGAGCTCAAGGCTAACCTGAAGTGCACAGTGAGACCCTGTCTCAAAAAGACAAAAAAAAAATAAAAAAATAAAAGTGATCATTTTATTGAAGGTAAATTAAAATTTTAATGATTGAGTGGCTTACTTCAGAGAATGTCCTGAACTTAAGAAAATTTTGATCTTTACTATTGTAACATAATTAAGTCCAGTAAATTGTCATAGATGCCAGATTTATGTTTAATGTTAGGCAGTTTACAAAATGAACATTCTAGGCTTAATTTAAAATAAATGTTTATTGAAAGTCAGGGAGAATATCTCCTTACAAAATAGAGTCTTAAATTTTTTTCTTCTCTTCTTTGTCAATTACTTATAGGAGATGGAAAAGTTGCGTGCTGAAAATGTAGTTTTAAAAGAAAAGAAAAAGACTGAATCATAAGGATCCTGGTTAACTCTGTAGGAATCACCTTGCTTGGAGATGTTTTTCACTCCCTCTCTCAGAAGTAAGACCTACTCTCGCTGATGCGGCAGAGTGAAGTTGAGGCGCTCAATAGTGAACTGTGTACGTGGGGCTTGGCACGTGCCCTCTGACAGTCAGTAGTGTGCTGCCAGTGGCTGCCATCCCATTTCCAGGGTTCACATCAGTTGTAAATATGAGAAAATCTTTTTGTCTGCTAAAATTAAAGGCCTGTAGCTAAGGTCTGTAGTGGATATTAGTCAGATCATTTTTTCCTTAAATAATCTCCTTTGATTCTCATGGTGCTAACGATATGTGGTGGCCCCAGAACGTGGGAGTGAGTTTGATGGCGGAATTTGTAGCACACTTGTTAATACGATAATTTTTTTTTTTTAATACGATAATTTTTGTACTTCTGGTTTGGTTTTTCAGTGCTGGGGAGCCAACTCAGGGCCTCACACATAGCAGGCAAGCACTCTACCTCTGAGCTGCCCCCCAGCTCCATATTTTTGTATTCAGTATTTTCATGAGCATTTTCTACAACTGTAAATATGGCTATTTTTTAAAAATAAAATCTTCGTTAAATAATTAATAAAGTGACTCACATCGTTCATTCACTCCACATGTCACTGGGCTTGGCTGGGGGTCCCCAAGGCTGAAGTGAGGAGTCTGTCCCACTCTTGTGCAGAGTAAGTTTGCGGGTCTCCTGACTCCCACTGAAATAAAAGGATTTTCATGACAGGTCAGTAAGAGGCACAAGGAGGATTTTTTAGAGAATTTAGGATGCACTCGATGCATTTTAGGATGCATCCACTTCTGAGTGGATGCTCAGAGAAGCATGACACACATTATGGGCCAGAGCTGGATATATTTAGGGGTCTTGGGGTGTCTGCAAGATGGGTGACCAGGATGTGTACTCCGATGTCTGTCGGGTTAAGTCAGTACATGTTTAAGGCTGGGGTCTGCTGCCCACCAGTACTGCTGCCTCCTTGACCAGTGAAAAGGGTAGGTCCAGAGCCTGGATCTGCAGGCGAACTGTGTCTTAAACCTTTTTGGATTATTTTTTTTTTTAATGAGTTCCCTGAAGGGAAAATGGCTTGAGGAACTTCTGTGTCTTGAAGCTGCAGTTAAGAATAATTTTGAAATCTCTATTTCCTTGTCTCCTTTTTGCCTCGTTTTTATTTCTTGTATCCTACCTCACCTGTACTTGGTGAAAGCTGAGCATGGTGGCACACACCTACTCCCAGCACTCTGGAGGCTGAGACAGGAGGGTCAGTGCGAGTTCGAGGCCAGCCCAGGCTCCACAGAGAGGCCCTGTCCGTGCCCGCTCCCCATAATGTACTTAGTGAGCCCATGTAGTGTACCAGACACTGATGACCAGTGAGCATGGCCAGTGAGAGCCCCTTGAGGGCTTCTGTGTCAGCATTCTGGTCCTTTTCATTGATAATGTAACTCCACTATATGGCTGTGTTGTGTTTATTTGTCCCTCAGTGGGACCTTTGAGTTGTCCCCATAGTGGGCATATTACTAACAAGGCTGCTAGAAAGGTGCATAAGTCTGGGTGTGGGCATGCGTTTCACATTGCGAGTACACGCCTAGGAACTGAAAGTCTAGGTCAGTGATGGCAACCTATGGGACACGGGCCGAAGCAGGCCATTTGTACCACTGAAAGCTCTAACAGGTTTGCCATCACCGGTCTGTGTCCCCTGCGACCTGTGTGTGTCACTCCTCAGTCGCTGCCTGTCTTCCAGATGTTCTCTCTGGCTGCACCACTGCGTCCACCAGTGTCTCACGCAGCACCCGTTACTGTACCTGGCAGTACACAACGGAACTGTGAAATTAAGAGATAACTTCTCCAAGCCTTCTCCTGCAGAGCATATAACCTGCCCCGCCCAGCCCAGGTACAGTGACAGGATGTGCAGGTGTTGGCACCAGCAGGCAGGAGCCCCGTTTCCTTCCCACAGGGCAGCGGGGCAGGGAGCGGAAGTACAGAGCGGGAGTGGAGATCCGCATTGTCTCTCTGCTCCCTTCCCCGTTCCTTATAAAACAGCCGTGCCTACTGTATGGAAGGAGACGGTGATTTGAGGCCAATGGACCCCTCCACCTCCTCGGAGCCAGGTTTAAATACATCCTTTTTCCTTTTCACCAAAACAAATGGCCTCCTTTGATTTGGCCAGCGTGAGCAAACAAACATGAATATATGAACCTAAGTGGCTTTTAAGGGTTTTGGTGCGCCAGGCGCGAGCTAAACCCCAGCTCCTAAGAGCCTTTCCTCCTGGCAGGGCCTTAGGAGAATGAACTGACTGCTCCTGGCGAACTCAGCCCACGGCCGGGACTCCAGGGGTGTCCCAGCCCGATGGGGAAACTTGCATCCAGAATCGCCATCCTTTCCTCTTCCTGGCATCAGTTTTCTATAAAAGGCCGGTGAAAGAAAGGAGAAAGGACAGGTGCTCACAGGCTCTACCTGGTTTCCCACTGCAAAATGCACTGTAGGGATCTACTGTCTCCACCATTCGGGCTTCTCTTAGGCCACTCAGCAGTGCCATTTGGGCGAGCTAAGACCCTGCACCACTTGCAGCCCTCCAGTCTTCTTGGGCCCTGACCGGCCATCAGTGCCATCTGAGGTGAGGCAAGCACCTTCACCATTTGGCCATTTTCACCATTTGCTTGTTTTTGGGTGCTGAGTGGTGTGAAAAGAGGTTCAGGGGTAGAAAGATTCCAGGCATTTGTTTTGTTGGTTTGGAATAGTCTTTTACTTTGGTTTCTTTTCTCACTTGCTTCTACCCGCTTTTGTCCTGGGATTGGCAGCAGGGTGCAGTACCGTCTACAAGCTGCAGGCTGACTGGACAGGCTGCAGCCAGGGCCCTGTGAGGGGGCTGCCGGAGCTGTGTCTTCTGTACCATGTGAGCGTGAGGCAGGAAATCTCTCCTTCAAGACCTGACGGAGCACTCAATGTGGCCAGACAGCTTCATATTTTGGGCCAGGACAATACCCTCTGATGCAGTATTCAGTTAGAGGTTTGCTCAGAAATAAAAGTGCTTGTGCTCGCTTGTTGAGGACCATAACCAGGACCTGATGTCTGCTCTTGTTGCCTAACCTGTAGACATCACACGTGTGTGCATCTATCCATGTTGGCCACACTGGCATCCAGATTAGCAGCACCTGCTGGGAACTCGCCTGCCTAGAACACCTGGCCTGATGGCCAGGTGCCAAGTGCCAAGACCCTTGGGGAAGAGCTTGGCTCCTTCAACACCTTCTTCAGTGACAAGACCTGGCAAAGTCATTGATGAAGTTCGCACTGGGACGTACCACCAGCTCTTCCACCCCGAGCAGCTCACGGGCAAGGAAGAGGCTGCCAATAGCTGTGGCGGTGGGCACTGCACCCTCGGCAAGCAGGTCACTAACCTTGGCGGCCCAAATTCCTACACTCGCTGAAAAGTGCGCAGATCTTGTTTCTCCATTGTTTGGCAAGGGAACTAGTTCTGGGTCTCCTTCCCTGCTGATCAACATCTCTCTGCTGACAGCAAGAAATCCAACCTAGTCCTCCATTTTCCCAGCACCCCCCAGCTGTAACTGAGCCCTACAATTCCATGCGCACCACCCATACCACTCTAGAGCACTGTGCCTTCATGGTAGGCCCTCTGTGACGTCTGTCGTAGAAACCTCAATATTGAGCGCCCAACCTACACTAACTGTAACCACCTTGTGTCTTCTGCACTGCTTCCCTCTGATGTGATGGAGCCCTGAACATCAACCTGACAGAATCCCAGACCAACCTAGTGCCCTATCCTGGTATCTACTTACTGCCAGACACACACGCTCTATCGTGTCTGCTGAGAAAGCCTCCATGAACAGCTTTCTGCAGCAGAGATCACCAGTGTTTGCTTCAAGCCAGCCAACCAGGCGATGAAATGGGATCCTCACCACAGCAAATGCATGGCTTGCTGCCCGTTGTACCATGGTGACGTGGTCCCCAAAGACATCAGTGCTCCCACTGCCACCAAGACCAACACAACATGCATTAATTGCCAGCTGCCCACTGCGGTGCCTGGTGAGACCTGGGTACAGCAGGCTATGTGACAAGGCCCGGGCTCACCTGGATCACAGGTTTGAGCTGACGTGCCTTTGTTCACTAGTACATGGGTGAGGGGATGGAGGAGGAGCGTTTTCTGAGGCCCCGGAGGACATGGCTGCCCTCAAGAAGGTTGCGAGGAAGTTGGTGTGGATTCTGTTGGGGAGAGCGAGAAAGAACAGGAGAACTGGTTATTCCGTCCCTGTCGGCTTCCTCCCTTGCCGTGTGTTCTGCTCCCAGGGTTTCAGCTTCAGCATAACTGTAGCACGAAGGTTTTGGCTTGATTGAGAGTCTGGTTTGTGAGTCTCTTTCCGTGTGTACCTCTGTGGTTTTCCCACCATGTCTCAAAGGCCTTATGAATGAATGGATGAATGTGCTTGTGTTACTTCCAGCTTCCTAGAGAAGTTCGTTACCTGTGCCTTAGAAAAAGACGATTTTATTGTGAGACAGCATGGCCCCTATAAATGAAAATAGGTTCTGATTCCACACAACTGTCTCTACGAGGATTGTTTGTTATGATGCTAAAGAGCTGTGGGAATCAGATCAACTGAACATCAAGAAAATGCGGCACACATATTAATGGACCACTGCCTGGCCATTCTTGTACTTGAAAGTTTTAATTGTTTAGCAGTAGTCTGTGTGCGTAAAGGCTTCTAGTATTAGGAGAAGGGGTCCTAAGAAGCAGTATTTTGCTAGGCACTGGTTAGGAGTCCTGGTTTATGGCAGGAATGGCTTTACATCTCTGACTGTTCTATAGGGGAAACGGTTATGCTTTAATAACTGGGAAAGGCCCAGGTCCGTGCCCCACCTCTGGGGTGCTGACTGTGTCACGGCCACGTGGGTTTCAGGACTGGCTTGCCCAGCACTGCGCGCAGGACCTCTGTTTTGAGCAGGAGTGGTTTAGAGACTGGCTGCTTCTCTGACTTTACGTGGCAGAAGTTGAGCCGAGTAACAGATATCCCGATGGCTTATTACAGGAGAGCAGTGCACAATCAAACAGTCCTCTCGGGAGCTTCCCAACTAAGTCCGTGAGAAGGATCGGATGGCTTTGTCTTGTTTTTTTGGTTTTTGTTTTTTTCTTTCTGGGAAAACACTATTTTAATCTCTTCTCAGCAAATGTCATTTGGCCCCTGACACATTAAACCACAGGCCTCAGGCCAACAAAGCCAACCACTCACAAGCTCTGTCTGCAGGTCTCCATGCCCACCACCCTGTTTCTGTCTGGTGCTTAGGGAGGCCCACCTGTGTCTCAGATGTGCTAATGGTGCCGGCCACAAGGTGGTGGAGAAGTCCATGAAACTAAAGTCTGCCTCCGCAGGAAGCCAAGCCGTGCCTTGGCTGCAGAGTTCCTTAGCTGGCGGGTATCCAGCTAGGGTCCCCGTTGTGCTCTTCAGCATTTCCGTCTCTGCCTGGGCTGAAATGAGGAAAGGGCTATTTTCTCCCATGACCCAGGGCAGGAGATACAAGCACTCTTGCATTTTCCGGGCTCAGCTGTCTCAGCAAGCACGCTCTGGATGGAGTGGTGAGCTCCGAGGTCAGTTCTGCTGGCCCAACAGCTCCCCAAGCCCAGCTGTGCCACTTCTGGAAAGGAGTCCGTTCCCACCACGGGAACGCTCGGAGCCCAGCAGGGCACTTGACTCACACTCAGTTTCCACCTGCCCTGGGGCCCTGCTCGGGATCTCAATTCAGCATTAGTGACTCAGCACAGGAAATACATTTTGGGGATCGAGGCTGTTGTTCTTACCCCTGAGGAAAACTCCCAGATGTGACTGGCATAGAGGAAATTGGACACACAGGCGGGTACCAGCGGGCACCACCTTCAGCCCGAGACCTCTCTGCTGCGGCTCCAGCAGGGCCTCAGGCCATGACCAGCACCCCAGCCATGGCCCCCTCGCCAGCCCCTGCGCAGGCTCGGATCCTGAGCAGCTGCAGGAGAATGAAGACCATGGTCAGCCTGAGCCAGAGCTCTTGAGCCCACTCCACCAGCTGCCGGCATCTCCAAGACGCACCTAAGGCCAAGACCTGGGAGGCGTGGCGGAGCCGCAGCACAGCCCAGCAGCGCTGCTCCCGTCCTGGAGGAGGTGCCCAGAGCCCGCAGCAGTGAAGCTCACCAACACATTCCACCAGGAGAGGCTGGGGCCAGGCCGTCCTCACACAGGGTCAGCAGGTGCACGAAGACCTCAAAGGTGGCGAAGCCCAGCCACTGCAGCCACTGATCCCCAGCACTGACTCCAACTGTGTGTCACACTTTCCGGAGAGGGCGGGTTCTGACCACCACCACTGGGGAACATACCTTGGGACCGAGGGCTAAGGCTGCAGATGGTTAATGGGCAACACCCTCAGGAGGGAGGAAGATTCAATCAGGGAGGTCAGAGTCAGCTGAGTGTCAACCTCCCAAAGTAGGCAGAACTGCAGAGCTTTCGAAAGAGGCTTTGCACGCAGGATTGCGCTGTCAGAAGCACAAAGCCCATCGAGCACGTGTAAGGATCTCCGGCTTGAGCTGTCTTCTGAATTTGATGGCCTGATTTTAGTGGTCACGTCAGCTCAAGCATCCTTAGCTTGTGCTCCGACTACCTCTGGTGGAATCGCTGGGCCACTGCGAAGTGAGACGCCAGCCAGATGTCCCCGCACCTCGAGGCGGTCAGGACTGAGGGCCAGAGTGAAGCAAGGGGCAGTGGTGCGTAACTAAAGTGCAAAGTGGAACTTTCAAAATCAGATTCTTCTTTTAGAAAGCAGCGACTTCTCAAGTTTCCTCCACAATCAGCATGTCTTCTCCCCAGTCCTGAGGCAGTGACAAAACATGCAGGCGCCCCGTTTCCTTTCCACAGGAAGGCGACAAGCAGCTGAAGATGCTGGAATCGGAAGGCAGGCGTGGACATCTGCACTGTCTCTCTGTGCACCCTCTCTGCTGTCCCTGACTGTAGAGGCCCCTCACCCACCTGTACATGGGGAGACGGATGGAGATTTGAGGCACATGGGCCCCTAGCTTTGCATCCTTTGTTCTCGTACAGAAATACATGGCCGCCTTTGGTTTGGTCAGGGCGAGCAAAGGAACCCGAGCGCATGAAGCCGAGTGGCCGGGAACATGGCCTAGGCTGTTCTATCCCAGCTGTCTCCCGGGCGGGGCCTGTGTGGTCTGCACTTTGCTGGCCCTGCAGCTGCTGTGTCGTTCCTTATTATGAAATACTAGCGGACGACAGAAAGGGCACAGCGCACCGGGGACGCCTGTGTGGCCCAGGGGAGCCTTGCGGGTGGAGGAGCTGCGGCTGCCTCCCTTCCTCGGAGGCAGACGGTGGAGAGGCCCGCAGGGAAAGGTTCGGGTCTTGGCGCTGCCGGACAGTGAACCACCGGGGGCTGAAGACAGCTGACGTTTATGTTCTCGCAGTTCTGGAGCCAGAAGTCTTAACCCCTGGCGAAGGCCAGCCGGGGAGAGCCTTCCGTTCCCGCCTGTCTCCGCCGGGCCACACGCCCTCCGCCCCCATCACCGGTGCGGTCCCCGCGGGCGCAAGCCAGGGCCGGGCACGTCTGGGGCGCACACCTGCTCCCCCCAGGTCGACACACCCCCAACTGGATTGAGGGGTAACCTAATCTAACGTGATCACATCTGCAACTAGCCCATGTCCAAGTGAGGCCACGTTTACGGGTACCAGGGGTTAAGGCAGCAGCAGACATTTCCAGCGGGCGCAAGCCGGCCCAAACTGCACCCCGAGCAGGGAAGGGCAGCAGGGCCGGGCCGGCCCGTCCGGGAGTCAGACGCGAAGTCGGGGCTGGGCCCGGCGTGCCCGCCTCCGCGAGCTCGCGCCCGA